GTTTAGTCTTTCAGCTCTCTTGTAACCCAGAAAATTTCTGGATCATATATAATGATGACAAGCGATGATATGATTATCATTGTGATGACCTGACCTATTTCTTGCAAAAGGAGTGAGGTCACTGACTATTTCTTGCAAAAGGAGTGAGGCCACTGACTATTTCTTGCAAAAGGAGTGAGGCACTGACTATTTCTTGCAAAAGGAGTGAGGTCACTGACTATTTCTTGCAAAAGGAGTGAGGTCACTGACTATTTCTTGCAAAAGGAGTGAGGTCACTGACTATTTCTTGCAAAAGGAGTGAGGTCACTGACTATTTCTTGCAAAAGGAGTGAGGTCACTGACTATTTCTTGCAAAAGGAGTTCACTGACTATTTCTTGCAAAAGGAGTGAGGTCACTGACTATTTCTTGCAAAAGGAGTGAGGCACTGACTATTTCTTGCAAAAGGAGTGAGGTCACTGACTATTTCTTGCAAAAGGAGTGAGGTCACTGACTATTTCTTGCAAAAGGAGTGAGGTCACTGACTATTTCTTGCAAAAGGAGTGAGGTCACTGACTATTTCTTGCAAAAGGAGTGAGGTCACTGACTATTTCTTGCAAAAGGAGTGAGGTCACTGACTATTTCTTGCAAAAGGAGTGAGGTCACTGACTATTTCTTGCAAAAGGAGTGAGGTCACTGACTATTTCTTGCAAAAGGAGTGAGGTCACTGACTATTTCTTGCAAAAGGAGTGAGGTCACTGACTATTTCTTGCAAAAGGAGTGAGGTCACTGACTATTTCTTGCAAAAGGAGTGAGGTCACTGACTATTTCTTGCAAAAGGAGTGAGGTCACTGACTATTTCTTGCAAAAGGAGTGAGGTCACTGACTATTTCTTGCAAAAGGAGTGAGGTCACTGACTATTTCTTGCAAAAGGAGTGAGGTCACTGACTATTTCTTGCAAAAGGAGTGAGGTCACTGACTATTTCTTGCAAAAGGAGTGAGGTCACTGACTATTTCTTGCAAAAGGAGTGAGGTCACTGACTATTTCTTGCAAAAGGAGTGAGGCACTGACTATTTCTTGCAAAAGGAGTGAGGTCACTGACTATTTCTTGCAAAAGGAGTGAGGTCACTGACTATTTCTTGCAAAAGGAGTGAGGTCACTGACTATTTCTTGCAAAAGGAGTGAGGTCACTGACTATTTCTTGCAAAAGGAGTGAGGTCACTGACTATTTCTTGCAAAAGGAGTGAGGTCACTGACTATTTCTTGCAAAAGGAGTGAGGCACTGACTATTTCTTGCAAAAGGAGTGAGGTCACTGACTATTTCTTGCAAAAGGAGTGAGGTCACTGACTATTTCTTGCAAAAGGAGTGAGGTCACTGACTATTTCTTGCAAAAGGAGTGAGGTCACTGACTATTTCTTGCAAAAGGAGTGAGGTCACTGACTATTTCTTGCAAAAGGAGTGAGGTCACTGACTATTTCTTGCAAAAGGAGTGAGGTCACTGACTATTTCTTGCAAAAGGAGTGAGGTCACTGACTATTTCTTGCAAAAGGAGTGAGGTCACTGACTATTTTTGCAAAAGGAGTGAGGTCACTGACTATTTCTTGCAAAAGGAGTGAGGTCACTGACTATTTCTTGCAAAAGGAGTGAGGTCACTGACTATTTCTTGCAAAAGGAGTGAGGTCACTGACTATTTCTTGCAAAAGGAGTGAGGTCACTGACTATTTCTTGCAAAAGGAGTGAGGTCACTGACTATTTCTTGCAAAAGGAGTGAGGTCACTGACTATTTCTTGCAAAAGGAGTGAGGTCACTGACTATTTCTTGCAAAAGGAGTGAGGTCACTGACTTTTTTGCAAAAGGAGTGAGGTCACTGACTATTTCTTGCAAAAGGAGTGAGGTCCTGACTATTTCTTGCAAAAGGAGTGAGGTCACTGACTATTTCTTGCAAAAGGAGTGAGGTCACTGACTATTTCTTGCAAAAGGAGTGAGGTCACTGACTATTTCTTGCAAAAGGAGTGAGGTCACTGACTATTTCTTGCAAAAGGAGTGAGGTCACTGACTATTTTTGCAAAAGGAGTGAGGTCACTGACTATTTCTTGCAAAAGGAGTGAGGTCACTGACTATTTCTTGCAAAAGGAGTGAGGTCACTGACTATTTCTTGCAAAAGGAGTGAGGTCACTGACTATTTCTTGCAAAAGGAGTGAGGTCACTGACTATTTCTTGCAAAAGGAGTGAGGTCACTGACTATTTCTTGCAAAAGGAGTGAGGTCACTGACTATTTCTTGCAAAAGGAGTGAGGTCACTGACTATTTCTTGCAAAAGGAGTGAGGTCACTGACTATTTCTTGCAAAAGGAGTGAGGTCACTGACTATTTCTTGCAAAAGGAGTGAGGTCACTGACTATTTCTTGCAAAAGGAGTGAGGTCACTGACTATTTCTTGCAAAAGGAGTGAGGTCACTGACTATTTCTTGCAAAAGGAGTGAGGTCACTGACTATTTCTTGCAAAAGGAGTGAGGCACTGACTATTTCTTGCAAAAGGAGTGAGGTCACTGACTATTTCTTGCAAAAGGAGTGAGGCACTGACTATTTCTTGCAAAAGGAGTGAGGCACTGACTATTTCTTGCAAAAGGAGTGAGGTCACTGACTATTTCTTGCAAAAGGAGTGAGGTCACTGACTATTTCTTGCAAAAGGAGTGAGGTCACTGACTATTTCTTGCAAAAGGAGTGAGGTCACTGACTATTTCTTGCAAAAGGAGTGAGGTCACTGACTATTTCTTGCAAAAGGAGTGAGGTCACTGACTATTTCTTGCAAAAGGAGTGAGGTCACTGACTATTTCTTGCAAAAGGAGTGAGGTCACTGACTATTTCTTGCAAAAGGAGTGAGGTCACTGACTATTTCTTGCAAAAGGAGTGAGGTCACTGACTATTTCTTGCAAAAGGAGTGAGGTCACTGACTATTTCTTGCAAAAGGAGTGAGGTCACTGACTATTTCTTGCAAAAGGAGTGAGGTCACTGACTATTTCTTGCAAAAGGAGTGAGGTCCTGACTATTTCTTGCAAAAGGAGTGAGGTCACTGACTATTTCTTGCAAAAGTGAGGTCACTGACTATTTCTTGCAAAAGGAGTGAGGTCACTGACTATTTCTTGCAAAAGGAGTGAGGTCACTGACTATTTCTTGCAAAAGGAGTGAGGTCACTGACTATTTCTTGCAAAAGGAGTGAGGTCACTGACTATTTCTTGCAAAAGGAGTGAGGTCACTGACTATTTCTTGCAAAAGGAGTGAGGTCACTGACTATTTCTTGCAAAAGGAGTGAGGTCACTGACTTTTCTTGCAAAAGGAGTGAGGTCACTGACTATTTCTTGCAAAAGGAGTGAGGTCACTGACTATTTCTTGCAAAAGGAGTGAGGTCACTGACTATTTCTTGCAAAAGGAGTGAGGTCACTGACTATTTCTTGCAAAAGGAGTGAGGTCACTGACTATTTCTTGCAAAAGGAGTGAGGTCACTGACTATTTCTTGCAAAAGGAGTGAGGTCACTGACTATTTCTTGCAAAAGGAGTGAGGTCACTGACTATTTCTTGCAAAAGGAGTGAGGTCACTGACTATTTCTTGCAAAAGGAGTGAGGTCACTGACTATTTCTTGCAAAAGGAGTGAGGTCACTGACTATTTCTTGCAAAAGGAGTGAGGTCACTGACTATTTCTTGCAAAAGGAGTGAGGTCACTGACTATTTCTTGCAAAAGGAGTGAGGTCACTGACTATTTCTTGCAAAAGGAGTGAGGTCACTGACTATTTCTTGCAAAAGGAGTGAGGCACTGACTATTTCTTGCAAAAGGAGTGAGGTCACTGACTATTTCTTGCAAAAGGAGTGAGGTCACTGACTATTTCTTGCAAAAGGAGTGAGGTCACTGACTATTTCTTGCAAAAGGAGTGAGGTCACTGACTATTTCTTGCAAAAGGAGTGAGGTCACTGACTATTTCTTGCAAAAGGAGTGAGGCACTGACTATTTCTTGCAAAAGGAGTGAGGTCACTGACTATTTCTTGCAAAAGGAGTGAGGTCACTGACTATTTTTGCAAAAGGAGTGAGGTCACTGACTATTTCTTGCAAAAGGAGTGAGGTCACTGACTATTTCTTGCAAAAGGAGTGAGGTCACTGACTATTTCTTGCAAAAGGAGTGAGGTCACTGACTATTTCTTGCAAAAGGAGTGAGGTCACTGACTATTTCTTGCAAAAGGAGTGAGGTCACTGACTATTTCTTGCAAAAGGAGTGAGGCACTGACTATTTCTTGCAAAAGGAGTGAGGTCACTGACTTTTTTGCAAAAGGAGTGAGGTCACTGACTATTTCTTGCAAAAGGAGTGAGGTCACTGACTATTTCTTGCAAAAGGAGTGAGGTCACTGACTATTTCTTGCAAAAGGAGTGAGGTCACTGACTATTTCTTGCAAAAGGAGTGAGGTCACTGACTATTTCTTGCAAAAGGAGTGAGGTCACTGACTATTTCTTGCAAAAGGAGTGAGGTCACTGACTATTTCTTGCAAAAGGAGTGAGGTCACTGACTATTTCTTGCAAAAGGAGTGAGGTCACTGACTATTTCTTGCAAAAGGAGTGAGGTCACTGACTATTTCTTGCAAAAGGAGTGAGGTCACTGACTTTCTTGCAAAAGGAGTGAGGTCACTGACTATTTCTTGCAAAAGGAGTGAGGTCACTGACTATTTCTTGCAAAAGGAGTGAGGTCACTGACTATTTCTTGCAAAAGGAGTGAGGTCACTGACTATTTCTTGCAAAAGGAGTGAGGTCACTGACTATTTCTTGCAAAAGGAGTGAGTCACTGACTATTTCTTGCAAAAGGAGTGAGGTCACTGACTATTTCTTGCAAAAGGAGTGAGGTCACTGACTATTTCTTGCAAAAGGAGTGAGGTCACTGACTATTTCTTGCAAAAGGAGTGAGGTCACTGACTATTTCTTGCAAAAGGAGTGAGGTCACTGACTATTTCTTGCAAAAGGAGTGAGGTCACTGACTATTTC